AGTGCCACTTCACCTCGACCGCCTGCGCGCGCGGCATCTTGTGGGAAAACAGCCGCCGGGGCATCCGAGTTTCCATCGGCTTAAGACTTGAAGCCCTAAACCGCTGAAGGCTTCAAGGGGTTTGGGGGCTAAGGGGGGTTGCAAATCCTGAGCTCTACATGGGTCCCCCAAACTCGCCCGAAACCATTCTAGGCGGGAGGCTTCGGGGCTACAATGAACTGGCCTGAACCCTAAGCCCTAAACCCTGTAGTTCAGCATTTGGCTCCCACCACCACCACCACCATCACCACCACCACCCTTCTCCCGATGTTGCCCAGTGTGGCAGAAAGACTAAACATTAAGCTCGTCAACCCCGAGCCCTAAACCCAAACCCAAACCCTCCCCATGTGCAGCCAGCGCCCTGTGACTTTCGGCTCCAGCTTACCTCCCCTAAGGGGTGCTTAGTTCAAGGGTCCCCGGCCTCAGCAGACTTACGGATCTGGGGGGGTCTTGATAGCCAGCACTACCCTATCTTCTTCTTCTACGCCCAGGTTCGTTGTGTGGGGGGGGGGCCTTCCATAGCTTAGGGATGCAGAGACCCTCGTCGCATGCCTTGCTAAGAGCGGATACGAAGAGCGAGGAGCTGAGAACAGCCTCCAACTCCGGGTTTACAGTATTTGGGAGGTTCATGGAGAGAGATATGGGGGTTTACGACCCCTAATCTAGACCGTCTAAGGGTGCCCTCAACAAGGTTATAACCATATTTCCCATTCACCTAATCCACCCTTAGCCCCTAAACCCTAAACCCTAAACCCCAAACCCCAAACCCGAAACCCTAAACCCTAAACCCTAAACCCTAAACCCTAAACCCCAAACCCTAAACCCTAAACCCTAAACCCTACACCCTACACCCTACACCCTACACCTTAAACCCTAACCCTCAACCCTAAACCCTAAACCCCTAAACCAAACAGGTCTTAGGGGGGTGTCGGTGTGTCGGGCTCAATGTGTCAAGCCCCAGCTCCCATGTCCTCCCTGAAGCCAAGCCCTAAGCCTGGTTCAACTTCGGGTTTAGGGTTTAGGGTTTAGGGTTTAGGGTTTAGGGTTTAGGGTTTAGGGTTTAGGGTTTAGGGTTCAGGGTTTAGGGTTTAGGGTTTAGGGTTTAGGGTTTAGGGTTTAGGGGCCCAAAGTGTTCACCCCTCCCGCCCCGTGCTGTCGAAGTCGAATTCTCGTTTCTTTCGCCTGCCGCCTTGTGCAGACCCAAGTCTCCTAAACTACTTCCCCCCGCTCATCGCACCCAGACCCCAAACCCTAAACCCTAAACCCTAAACCTTAAGCCCTAAACCCTAAACCTTAATAAGCCCGAAGCCCTAAACCCCAAGCCCCAGACCCTGAACTAGACTCGCCCGAGCCTCAACACTGCGGAGGTATCGGCCTAAAGCAAGGCCGCCTGGATGTGGCGAGGGCCAAGGTGGGGTTACATGGGGGCCTGCATAATTAGAATAGGTTTTTTTTTTTTTTTGGGGGGGGGGGGGGGTTGTTATAGGTACAATTTATAGGGGCCTGAATAATGAGAATAGGGTTTTGGGGGGTTATTATCGGGGGTGGAAGTAGAGAGGGGACCCTAAGGGGATGCTGCTAGTAATTCTTCCGACCCCTTCTGTTTACAGCAGAGAGCACGGAAGGTTGAGGCCTGGCAGAGCTTTAATGGCTTTACGGGTTGTAAGGGTTTCAGGGCTTTACAGGTTTTAAGGGGGTTTTAAGGGTTTTCAGGGTTTTAAGGGTTTTAAGGGTTTTAAGGGTTTTAAGGGTTTTAAGGGTTTTAAGGGTTATAAGGGTTGCAAGGGTTTTCAGGGTTTAGGCTTCGGGTTCCGCGGGTTCAAGGTGTTGTTCAAACCAGGCGTGCAGAGGTTACGGGCGTAATTATACGAGACCCTGTGCGGAAGTCGCTTTTAGGGTTTTTCATGGTAGGGGACCGCAGCAAGTATCTAAACCCTAAACTCGTGTTGAGGGGTTCTAGGCTTGCGCTCCAGGTTTGCCCGGGTCACTCTTTCTGGTTAGGGCGGAGGGCTTTGGCAGGTTCAGGGTTCCTTTCTGCGTAGGTCTGAGGGTAGAGGGCGGGTACGTCTAGGAGGCGAAGATGTGGATACCTTCGGGCCCACTTCCTTGGTAGGTCCAACTGGTTCTTAGTAGGGAATGAGAGCCCCTAATAAAGGGTCCTAATAAAAAAGCATCCCTAGACATCGAAATTCATCATGAATACCAAAATTATCATAATTGTCATGTTCACTCAAGTTGAACCAAAGCAAGACAGCTATGAAGAGCCAGTAGGTCGTGGTTATCTGCATCGCGCCTGGGGGCCGGTCTGATCTCTGTGGCTCCATCAGCGTCATGCATAGTCAGGAGAGCAGAAATGCCAAAGCAAAGCAAGGGCAGCTGCGTGTAGCAGGTGAAGACTCAGACAACCCAAGAAGACTCGAACCCAAAAGCTGGAACCCCAGAGCTCGCGAGCTCGCAAGCTCCTCCCAGCCCCGAGGGCCTTGCGCGCGCAACCGCCGCGCTTGGGCCTCCTCGGCCCCCCCCAGCGGACCCAGGAAACCCAAGGTACCCGTAGAGAACAGGATACCAATTATTAACAGGGTAGGTAAATCTCGCCCCCTCAATCCTTGGCCGCGTCCTGGTTGGGGACGAGCGCAGCGGGACCTTCCGTGTGGATGACAGCATGCCGGGCCCTCACACGTACGAGTCCAGTCGCCTCTTCAGAACCAAAAACCCCCAAACTCTAAACCCTAAACTCCCTAAACGCCCTAAACTCCCCAAACCGTGAATCCTCTCTTAGTGTTTAGGGGAGTTAGGGAGTAGAGCGGCTTCTTTTGCTTCCGACGCTTGGCATGTGTGTGGGCTTTGCGGGCGGGAATGTTGCCGAACGCTGGGCTTGGGGTTGCAAACCCTAAACCCTAAACCCAAAACCCTCAACCCTCAAACCTCAACCCTAAACCCTAAATCCATATATTGTCCCATGCGACGCCATATCGGAGAGCTGCAGCTAGGATTGAGGGGTCGAGGGTTGGGGGTTCGTTGAGGTTTGGGGGTTTATAATACTCCCCGCTAGTTTAAGGTTCAGGGTTTAGGGTTTGGGGTTTAGGGTTCAGGGTTTAGGGTTTAGGGGTTTAGGGTTCAGGGTCGAGGGTTTGGGATTTAAGGGTGCAAGGCTATCGGACATCCTTCGAAAAACCTTGACCTCCAAACCATCGAAATCCCTTAGCAACCCTGAGCCCCTACGCCCCTAAAGAAGCTTAACGCCGGCAGAGGCGTAAAGCGAAACACCCTTGGAAACCCTCCCCCCCCCCCCCGCCCCGAAACCCCAAAACCCCCTAAACCCCTAAACCCCTGCACCCCTAACCCCCCAAAACCCCCAAAACCCCAAAGCCCCCAACCCCTAAGCCCCCACCCGAAACCCCAAAATCCCAAAAGCCTCCGCGCCCCCAAGGGTTCGTCGCGGGCCGCAGACCCTGCAGGGCGCCGTGCAGCGGCTCCGAGGCGGGTCTTCTGGGGTCGAGGCTTGAGTGTTTGAGGTTTTGGGCGTTTGGCGCTGGCAGGGTTTTGTAGGGATTTGCAGGGTTTCGTAGGGTTTTGTAGGGGTTTGTAGGATTTCTAGGGTTTGCAGGGTTTATAGCTTTTGAGGCTTTGGGGTTTACGGGCTTGTGGGCTTGGGAGTGTGATGTTTAACATGGAGCCTCTGCTGTTTTGGGAGGGGTCCTGGGTGATCGGGAGGTTCTGGTAGAAACAGCCCAGCATTTTGAACGCAGCTCTTACAGTGTTTGGAATGTCCAGCATCCCCTGCGAGAACCTGCAAGTAAGGTGGGGGTGCTTTTGCTAACACACTGCCAATGGACCCGCGGGTTTTGCTTGTTTTCAGGTGCTTTGGGGTTCTTCGCGGATTTTGGGGCAGGGGGGGTGGGGTTTGGGGGCTGGGTGGGGGGGGGGTGGGGTTGGTGGGGGGGGGGGGGGGGTTGGTTACGACCATGTTCCTGTAACCATGCCCAACAAAACACCGGTATTTACATCGTTTTGGCAACATGCTGCACCAGGATGTTTGACGTTTCTGGGACAAGGCGCATTGTCCTTCTGCGAATATGCATATTACCACAACACTGGAATGTTCAGTGTGTTTACATTGTACAGAAATATATTGCAAGAGTACGTTTGATGTTTCCGCAACCAGAACTATTCATGCCTTTTTGCGAACATGCCGCAAAGACTGCTATTTACAGCGTTTTTGCTGGATTCTACAACATACAAGACCGCGGCCACAAATCTTCGCAAACTATGATGCGTTCGAAAACCATGAGAAACCCTGGACTTCAAACAATTGAGAAAATCCCATTTTATCCGGAAAACCGTAAAGACGCGTTTGCGAACGACCATCAGACCTTACACCAAAACGTGGTTTTCGCCTCGGTAATTGCACAAAAACAAGCTTCCCACAGTTACAAACTTCAGAAAAGAAAGGCTCAAACACTTGGGCAAGTGTGCGAGGTTAGCCCTTCCCCCAAAGCAATCTCAAGCCAAAAAATCGTCGTTTTCCCTCGGAACAACTACCAAAATACCTAAAAATCAACCCCTGCTAACGCACGGGTCGTTTCGGGGTCCGTTGCCGTGCTTTTGGAGAGGCTGTGAAAGTTGAGGTCGTGCGTACCCCTGCTAACGCACGGGTCGTTTCGGGGTCCGTTGCCGTGTTTTTGGAGAGGCTGTGAAAGTTGAGGTCGTGCGTATTCTTTCTGGATTCCGGGTTTTTCCAGCTGCCCCTAGTGGCTTTGGCTTCGCCACTGTGAACCCGAAGCCTAAACCCTAAACCCTAAACCCTAAACCCTAAACCCTAAACCCTAAACCCTAAACCCTAAACCCTAAACCCTAAACCCTAAACCCTAAACCCTAAACCCTAAACCCTAAACCCTAAACCCTAAACCTAAACCCTAAACCCGAAACCTAAGCTGCGAGGCTACAACAGCCGCCACGACATGCCGGATGATGACGACATGGAGTTTCTGGAGGCCTGGAGACCGCGTTTTTTGGAGGGTTTAGGGTTTAGGGCGTAGGGTTTGGGGTCTTTGGGTTTAGGGTTTAGGGTTTAGGGTTTAGGGTTTAGGGTCCAGGGCTTAGGGTTTAGGGTCTTTGGGTTTGGCGGGTCTAAGGGTTGAGGTTTTGGTGGTTTCAAGTAGGGTATCTACAGGAGCAGCTACTTCTAGCCTTAGTTTGGGGTCATGACTACCCATGGTAGGGCCTCAAAGCCCCACATCTCCCCAAAACGCAACACCCGCCCTCCCTCCCAAAACTGGCCTACATCTTCTTCGCAGAGCACTTAAAGACTTAAGCCGTTCATGTCTTGACTTGATTCGTTCCATACCTTTGTAGACCGTTCCAGAGAGCCAAGACGTTTTCTCGAGAGAATTTGTGTGGTCGGAGCTCTTGCAGTTTTTGTCGCTGTCGCGGGTGGTTTAGGGCTTTGACGTTGGGCTTCGGAGTTCCCCCGCGTCCATTGTAGAGAGACAAGTGCCAAGTCCTCAAGGCGCAGAGGACGGGCGCAGGGCCCCAACCACCCAGGGCCAAGGGCCCCAAAAAACCCAAAACACCCCAACGCCCTGAACCCCCTAAACCCTGAACCCTAAACCCTAAGCCCTAAACCCTAAACCCCAAACCCTAAACCCCAAACCTGTCTTGAGCCCTTGCAGGAGGCTGAGTTTCAAAAGATCCAGGACGTGTAGGGGCTCCTCATGTCTTGGGGGAGGGGTTTGAAGGTTTACGGCTTCGGGTTGAGGGCCTGCCCCCCAAACCTGCTGGACAACTCACCCCAGTGGGTCTCCGGAGGGTTTAGGGTGTTTCGGGTTTCGGGTTTAGGGTTGCGCTCTGGCTCCGGAAAAATTGTTTCCTTGTTGAGCCACCCTAACGCCTTCTGGCCTAAACCCCCCAAACCCTAAACTCCTTACCTTAAACTAGTGGTTATTATTATTATTATTCTTATTCTTATTCTTATTCTTATGATTATGATTATGATGATTATTATTATTATTATTATTATTATTATTATTTTTATTTGGGGGTTGCCAGAGACAGCGACGCGAGGAGCTGGAGCGGCAAGAGGAGGAGCGGCGTTGCCCCTCCCTAAGGCGACGAGATTGGGGGGGCCTTAACCCCTACACCCTAAACCCTAAACCCTAAACCCTAAACTCGAAACCCCAAACCTACACCCGAAACCCTAAACCCTACACCCGAAACCCTAAATCCAAAACCCTAAACCCCAGGAGAGTTGGAGGGGAGTTGGGGAGGGCGTCCCTCTTGATGACTTGGGGGTTGCCGCACGTGGCTTCGTAAAGTTCCAACATTTAGGAGCTTGCTGTAAACCTAAAACCCCAAGGCCCTAAGCCCTAAGCCCTAAGCCCTAAGCCCTAAGCCCTAAGCCCTAAGCCCTAAACCCTACACCCTACACCCTACACCCTAAACCCTAACTCTAAACCCCAAGTTGCTGTGCCCCGCAACAGGTCGATTCCGCGCTTCTACGAGCGCAAGGCCAGGGCTTGGCCTCAAGGGGGGCCCTCACCTCAAGAGGGCCCCGAAACTCGAAGCCGTAAACCCAAGCCGTCTGTTTGTGGCTTACCTAAACCCTAAACCCTAAACCCTAAACCCTAAACCCTAAACCCTAAACCCTAATCCTAGGGGTTTTTTGGCTCTCAGCCTACATGTCCGTAGGTCTGCAGGCGTTGAGATTCTTAAGGTTGCGGGTGTGGTCCCGACTTTTTGAAGCTCAAAGAGGTTTAGGGTTTAGGGTTTAGGGTTTAGGTTTAGGGCTTCAAGCTGAGAATCCCCTAGGCGGAGGAGCGTCCCGGAGGTACACCACCTCCGAACCCCCAAGCCCCAAAGCTCACAAACCCACAAGGTCCAGGGTGCAGGGCTTAGAATCCCAGACCCCCAAAGCTTGCGTGATTTCACAACACCCCTTCCGGTCGTCAGGCCCTACACCCCAAAGCCTTAACCATAAACCCTAAACCCTAAACCCTAAACCCTAAACCCTAAACCCTAAACCCTAAACCCTAAACCCCAAACCCCATCCCTAAACCCTAAACCCTGAGCCCTAAACCCAAGCCCAAGCCGAAGTGGCGGCCAGGCAGCGCCCTTGGACGAGTCGACCAGCTTGCGGCCACGCGTTTTGCGCGAAGCGCGCGGGGCGGCTTAGGGGACGGTCTGGGCTCTGGGCTAAACCCTAAGCCCTAAGCCCCAAGCCCTAAACCCCAAACCAGACAAGTTTAGGGCTTAGGGTAAGAATTCCCCCAACCATGAACCCCCGAACACTGAAGACCTGAAACCCTGAACCCTGAACCTCAAACCCCGTCGCCCATGCCTGCAGATGAGTCTTTTTGGTGGTCGGAGTTGGGAGTTTAAAGGTTTTAGAGTTTTAGGGCGATTAAAGGCTTTGTTCCTTCAAGGAGGGTAGGAGGATCTCAGGCTAAATAAGCCTCTACGCCCCAACCCGAAATCTCTAAACATTAAAGGGCCCATAGTTCGTGAACCCCAAACCCTCAACCCTCAACCCTCAAACTTCAAACCCTTAACCCTAAACCCTAAAAGCCCGAAACTCTCAAAACCCTAAGCCCTAAACCCTAAAAGGCCCCCAAACCCCTCAAAGCCCTACGCCGCGAGGGATGGGGCTCTCATCCCTTCGCCAAGGAAGCCGCCTCCTGCAGCGCAAGAGCTCCCGCGAGCTCCTTGACGAAGAGGACGGCTCCGCCATTTGCTTGGGGGTAAGGTTTAGGGTTTAGGGTTTAGGGTCTTGGGATTTAGGGTTTAGGGTTTAGGGTTTAGGGTTTAGAGTTTAGGGTTTAGGGTTTAGGGAGAAACAACCCTAAGCCCTAACACCCCGCTTCGAGGCATCGATGTTCCATACCGTGACTGTCTTTCCTGACCTAACCTCTTGTGACTTAAAAGTTCGTTTGGCCAGCTTGGCTTGACGGCCGGCTAGTTTGACCATGATGCTACATGTGCTGTAGTTTACTTTCAGCCCTGCTTCTTGCAGGTAATGCAGAAGGAGTCTTACCATATCGTGTGCCTCGTAGAGGGTCCTGGTTCAAAGGTGAGTAGGGCTTGGGCTTGGATGGTGTTTTAACGGTTTGGGGTGGCAGGTTGTGATTTCATAGGCTTGCGGGTCAGGGGTTCAGAGGGAGTCGAGCTTCTCGCAGTTCCACAAGTCTCTGCTCCCGATCCTTAAACCCTAAGCCCTACAAGCGCTACAAGAAACCCTACACCGCCTTAGGAGAAGCCCGAGAGTCCCCATCGTTCCGTCAGAGTCACAGGGCCCAGGACCCCTCAACCGTGGCCTTACCAACCCCCCCCCCCCCCCAAATTTGCGAGTTTGGTTTAGGGTTTTAGGGGTGGAAGGTCTAGAGTTTGGGGGTGTTTGTGCTGCAGGACCTCCACATGATCTTGGTCTTGCTGAAGGCTCTCACGCCATGGGTCCGGAAGCCCGAAAACCCCCCAACAACCTAGGCCCTTGTGGTGGTTTTGCATTTTTTCTTCTTTGGGTTGGGGTTGAAAGTGGGTTGCAGAGGATGTTATGCAACACAGCTCTCAGAAAGCTTCAGGGACCAACTTTCAGACGTTGAAGCGGTTGCTCGTCCAGGCTTTCAGGTTTGGTAGGGACGTACGGCTTACATGCCCAAATTCTATAAGAGATGAGCTATCCCAAGCCCTAAACCCCAAGTCCTCAACCCTAAACCCCAAATCCTAAACCCCAAACCCCAAACCCCAAACCTAAAACCCTAAACCCGAAACCCTAAACCCCAAACGCTGAAAACCATAGAACCCCAAAGTGCAGGATCAGGCGCGCCCCAAACCCTAAACCCCATACCCTTAACACCCTACAATGCAGGAGCAGGCGCGCCGGCGCCGCGAGACCCTCGAGGGGCAGTCGGACGTGGAGGCTTCGCGCCAACTGTGGTGGGTCGACCGAGACCCTTCAGGTTTAGGGTTTAGGGTTTCGGGTTTAGGGTTTAGGGTTTAGGGTTTCGGGTTTAGGGTTTAGGGTTTAGGGTTTAGGGTTGAGAGTGACAAAAGCCACCTACTCAAGCCCCAAGCCCTGGAATCCTCCCGAAGCCCTATAAACCCTCAGAAGCCCCCTCAAAGCCTCGGAAAGCCCTCCTAAACTCCCTTTTGTCGGCGTCCAGGTCATCGACTATGTCGGCTTCTGCAAGATACGCAAGGCCTTGGGATCCCTCAACCCCCTAAACCCCCAGAATCCCTTAGAATCCGAACCCTAGATCCCAAAACTCCCCAAACCCTACACAGCCCTAAGCCCTAAACGTTGCCCTGAGCCCCATTTTGTTACCCCCATAGGTAAGCCTTTGCAAGACACCAAAGCCCTCATGTTAGGCGGCAGTTCCTCCTTTTCTGGGCCCCTTTGTTCTTCTCTGGATTCTCGGTGTGCACCAACAAGGATATCCACAAGCTGGTGGTTGGTTCTACCCGTTAAGACGCCGTAGGGTGCTTATGTGGCGCACCTTAAACCCTAAACCTTGAATTCTGAACCCTTAACCCTCCCCAAACCCTAAACCCTAAGCCCTAAACCCCAAGCCCTAAACCCGAAACCAGACCTTTGAAAAGCTTGAGCAGGAGCTGCTGGGGCGCGGCGAGCGCTTCCGCCAGTACTTTCTTCCCACGCCCGGGGGCCCAGCGGCGTCAGAGTTTGTTTGGGCTTCGGGGTGGAGGATTGTAGGGCTTGAGGTTTGGTTGGGCTTCAGGGTGGAGGATTTTAGGGCTGAAGGTTTGTTTGGGGGGTTGAGGTTTTAAGGTTGAAGGCTCGTTTGGGTTGAGGGATTTCGGGTTTTAGGGTTTAGGGTTTGGGGATTGAGGTTGCATGGCGTGAGATGGTTTGAGGCTTCCAGGTCGCCTGGATGCCCAACCCCCGGGTTTAGGGTTTAGGGTTTAGGGTTTAGGGTTTAGTTTAGGCCCCCCCCCCCCCCCTCCTCCCTCCCTTGTGTGTGGGAGCTCCCAGGACCTTCTTGAAGTTCCCGCGCGACCAGAGCGGCTGCATCGCCATCGTCCCCTTCTTCACCTTCGTGGTGCGAAAGGCAGGGAACCCACATAGGGTTTAGGGTTTAGGGTTTAGGGTTTAGGGTTTAGGGTTTAGGGTTTAGGGTTTAGGGTTTAGGGATATGGGTGGTTGTCAAAATGCTGGTCCCTTTCTGGATCCCTCTTATGGTACGGCACCTAATTATTTAGGGTTCCCCAAAAGGGATCATAATGTTGACGACCACCCACATCCTTCAGCCCCTCAGCCAAAGGGAAGCCCAAGCTTGGAGAACTCGACGAATGGCCAGGTGAACCTCAAGCAGACGAGGGTGCAGCTTAGCTACTACGACGCGCTGGGGTGCGGCTTTCTCAGGGAGAAGGCCGCGGGTGCGTGGTGAATGAAAGGTTCAAATTTCGATTTGTTCCCATCTGTGTTACTTTCCTGTCATGTATATATATACATATATATATATATGTGTACGTGTCTTGCATGTTGTTTCGGTTTGTGATGGTTTCGCGGTCTTAGCTGTTGATCAAAAGCAAACAGTCAAGACATGGCTTTGCTGGGATCAGCGAGGGCAGCCGCAGACCCAGGTGGAGTGAAACCCTGAACGGCCCTAAACCCTAAATCCTAAACCCTAAACCCTAAACCCTAAACCCTAAACCCTAAACCCTAAACCCAAAACCCAAACCCTAAGCCCTGAACCCTGAACCCTAACCCTGGCCGCAGGACATGGAGAACTTTATCTTCGAGATGATCCCGACGCTGAGTGGGGCTCAGCTTTGGGAGACCGGCGGAGATGACATAGGGTTGAGGGACATCCACAGGGTACACCTCCTTGATGGCATGTCACACCACTGCGTGTGTTGTCCCCACCCATGCGTGTGCTTTGTGTGCGTGCATTCTGGAGGTGTGCGTGGCCGTGTCCAATTTGTTGCTGGTTCTATTGGCCATTGCTTGTAGTCCTTTCATCTAATGTCAGCTGTCAGCCTCATGCATCATACCTTCATAATGGCACAGACACAGCAAGACACAGGGAGAGAGCGAAGGAGAGAGAGGGGACAACGAACGAGCGGCAAGAAGTGACCTCAGCCAAACATCTGAACCGCTCCGAATACAGGGCGGGCGATGACGCCTGCGGGTTCGTCCCCCTATGCCCTTCGAAAGAAAAGAAAGAAGGGCAATGCCCTGCAGAAGAAGAAGAAGAAGAAGAAGAAGAAGAAGAAGAAGAAGAAGAAGAAGAAGAAGAAGAAGAAGAAGAAGAAGAAGAAGAAGAAGAAGAAGAAGAAGAAGAAGAAGAAGAAGAAGAAGAAGAAGAAGAAGAAGAAGCAGAATAAGAAGAAGAAGAAGACGACGAAGCAGCAGCAGAAGAAGAACAAGAAGCAAGAGGCTCAGATGGGGACAGGGACAGGACAGGGATAGGGGGGGACAGGGACACTGACAGAAATGGAGTGGAGGGCAGGGGAGTGGAGGGGAGGCGAGGCAAGGCTTGCTTCGCCACTGCCGACCACAGAGTGCAAACCACATGCAGCACATGTGTATCAGCCTTGCCTTGTTGGATCGGGCCATTTTGGATGTTTGTATTGCTTAACATCTCCCAACCAGCGGTTACAGCTCAGTGAGAATAGGACACATTGAAGCGACGAGACAAGTGCCATTGAGCAGAACAGATGTCACCTCAGGCATTTCAAGACAAGCAGGGCTGTGCTCCTCTCCAATGGCTGCACAGGCTGTCTCTCCCCTGCCCGAGATGTTGCCAGAGGATGTGGTTGACCACGAAGTGACCTCTTGCGAGAGGTTTGTCGCGGTCAATCGGTGGCGGTACACTTATCCTGGTGCTCTGGTTGAGTGTGATGAAGGCGCCGCCTCCATCGAAACTATTGGCAGGTCGGCAAAGCGACTTCGCTTGTGGAAGGAGTCTGATCCAAAGTTTGACATGTCTGACGTTGCTGACTCTATCGACGTGCCAATAAGATCCGATGGAGTTGTGGAGAAGCAAAGGGTGAGGTCGTACCTTTGCGGATGTCTTCGAGCCTTGCCGCAGGACCTCGCGCTGGTGTACTGTCTCCATTCTGAGGAGGCCGAGGAGGCAGTGCGTATTTGCATCTTCTCAAGCCAGGCATTTCTGCTCGTTGACCAGCTGGTGGAGGTGGACGTGGGCGAAATTGAGAGCTGTGGGCAACTTTGCCGACGGATGTGGACCCCACGTTCAAAGTGGAGGTCCGCATTCGAACAAGTAGCTGCAAGGTTAGAGGGCACGCTGCAGTCAGTGCGGGAGTTTGACCGTCTAGTGTTTGTTGTTAGTGGGGCTCTGGCTGACGTGCCAATGCACGCCTTGCCTCTGTGCGGAAAGGAGCCTCTTTTCCTGTCAAAGATTGTGACTTATGCCAACTCCTTGGTCGAGATGTCGATTCAGCCGAAGCCAAGTTTGAAGTCGCCTCATAAGAAGGCAACGGCCATCATCTCCAACCCAACCGCTGCAAGGGCTCCTGGTGACTCCGATGATATGCCCGATCTGCCTTTTGCAGATTGTGAGGCATCCACAGTCGCTGAGCAGCTGTCAAGTCCCTTTGTAGCGTTGAGCGGGGCATCGGCGTCGCTTCGTCAGGTGGCAGGTCTCTCACGTGTCATGGATCAGCTAGTGACGACTCTCAACTTGCACCTCTGCCTTCACTTTCACTGCGACGAGCAGAGCTCGGACAACTCGGCCTTTCTCTTGGCACATGGTGATGCGCTTCCTGTGTCGAGGTTCGCTGCAGCCTTTCCGGAGTTCATCGACACAGTGTTCCTTTCTGGATGCAACACGGGAGCTTTCTCGACGCAGGCCTGCCGGGAGGGGAGCATTGTGGTGCGCTCAATCTCAGGAGCCCGTGCCGCGAGAGTTGTTTGCACTGGTTGGCCAGTTGGCGATGCTTGTGCCTTGCTGGTCGCCCAGAAGTTCTATGCTGAGCTCAACGCTGGCACAGATGCTGCAAAAGCCTTGCAGCGTGCGCAAGCTGCCATCGCCCCGTTGCGCGCGAAGGATGTCAAGGACATGGCCACTGCTTTGGCAAGTGCTGAAGACATGCTTCGCTTGCGCGGATCCATCCACGAACAGGTAAGGGGGTTGGAATGTCTCGAAGCTACAGCCGACGCAGAACCAATGGGCAGCAGCATCAACCTGCCACCTTTCTGGTGGGCATGCCACCGCCTCTACATGAACGTGCTCGAAGAGGTTGAATCTTCGTTGGATGAGGCAGTGAGCCCCGCGTCTGCTGAATCTGATAACGGTGGGCTATCGCATGCCGGCAGTGCCAGTCTGCAAGGTGCCGAAACTTCCAGCGAAGATGCTGCAGCCGGATCTGGCGACGATGAGGCATCGCGTACTGGCAGTGCTGGCAGTTCGGTGACATTCATGCGCCATGGTAACCTTTTCAATTCCGACAACGACAGCGATGAGGAGGAGTCCAATGCGTACTTGGACATGCCGTTGCCACAAGTGGCTCAAGAAGTTCACAGGGGTTGTTCTTGGCAGCCGCTCGTTGTCGAAGCTGTTCCCAATGAGTGCGGAGGTGGCTATGTTGTTCTGGACAAGGCGGAAAAGGCCCTTGTTTTCTGGGACACTTGCCATGAGAAGGTCTGCTCAAGTAAGCCTAGCGAGCTGGCTGAATGTGATTTCAGCTGGGTTGACCTGGCCATCGATTGTGACGAACGTTCAAGTAGCAGTCTCTGCTGCTTGGTGCTGACGTACTTCGAGATCCTTTCATTCAGCAAGCACCGGAACACACTTACCTTGTTGTGGAATCTGAAGACAAGTTCACAGTTCTGCTCATTGGCGTTGATGCCCTCTAGTGATGCCTTGTTCTACACCGAGTTTAAGCAGAAACAACACGTTGTTGCTGACGCATGCCTTCACGTCGTGCAGAAGCAGACCGGGCATGCCATCGGCAAGTCCTTCAATGCTGCCCAAGCTTCCTTTCCTTGGAGCGCGGAGAGGTTTGCCGTGCTTCGGTCAAAAGAATTTCAGGATGATCTATTGCTGTGTTGCGAAGTCTCTGAGGACAGGTTGACTGCCATGAGCTTGTCAACCGGCGAGCGTGTGCGAAGTCTGACGCTGTCTGGCGCCGACATCAACGACGTGAAGGTCGTTGATCCTGATCAGGAAGAGTTCGTTGTAGGTGGACGTCTCATCATCGTCTGCAACGTGGCGATGGATGTCATTCAAGTTGTTTGGCCCCTGGCCCCATTGCATCGCTTCAGCTTCATACCCAGCATGAACTCGATAGTAGCATCCCCCGGTCGTGCGGAGCTTTCGGATGACGAGCTCGCAGGTCTTTTGGGACCCTCGTCTTTCGCGCCTTCATCTCGCGACTTCGGCACGTGCCTGCTATTGTGGGACTACGCCAAGCTGAAGCTCGGCAGCGGAGCGATCGGCTTCGATGGGAGCTCAAGAGGCAGGCCCAAGCCCAGCACAGTCACGGTACCAAAGGCAGTGGTGCCTCCTTTCGGACGCTTCCCTTACGAAAAGTTGTTGGTGGTGAGCTCGATGACGCGATCCGTGCTGGATTGGTGTGTGAAAACAAGCACGTCTCGGTTGGATCGGGCAGACCTTCTAAGAGCAGCTCTGCCAGGTGGATGTGGTGGCCTGAAGGATGAAGCGATTGCAAAGCATTTGGAGGCTGGATTGGGCTTCCCAGCCGCATTGCAGTCCGAGCTTTCCGTTGAGGAGATCGGGGGGGTTGCTGAGAGGGTTGGCTTCGATTGTGCTATGGTGGCAGCGGTCCGGCAGGCAGAGCCAGAGCTTCTGTGTGAGGGTATCAGGGTGTTCGTACGCCGTGGGTTGTCTGCGGCCAAAGAGTTCATCGAGGCTGCGCAGAGTCGCGAGCAAGCTGCCGAGAGCATTGATCACTCCTACGGCGGCGCATGACCTCCCAGCTGGTGAGGTGATGGCATGAGGTGCGAGCAAAAGGCAGCAGCTGTGGCGGCCGCCCAGGGTTTAGGTTTTATCTCTTCAGGGGCTTCGCTTCCTGGTGCCCCAGACCAAGACAGGGATTGAGGAGGTCACAAGATAGCACAAGGACCCAAAAACCTCAAAACGGCAAAACATGCCCAAAAGGCCCAATTCCTGTCAACACTAAACCCTAAAGCCTTTGGTTCGGGCTAGGCATTAAGAGCGTCGTTCCTCAAGGTGGTTTGAATACCCTTCGACCCCTCAACCCCAGACTCCCCCTAGACCCTCGAACCTTCAATCCTTAAGCCCCGAAGGTCCCCACCCCACCACAAGCCTCGTCCAAAGAGTTGCGCTCCCCCACCCCCTGGCTCTGAGGCCGCAGCTGAAGTCCTTACAGGAGGAGTCGCACCCTCAGGGGTGGAGTGTTTTTTTTGTGGCTTTGGGGTGGCAGGGGTGGAGAGTCTGGCCGCTTGTGGGAGGTGTTAGGGTTTGTAGGCTTTGAAGCAAAGCTTCCACAGTGTCTTGGGGTCGCCCGAAGAACATCTGTTGGCCCTCTCTCGATCCCAAAACCCTATTCGCTCAACCCTGAATCCTAGCCAAAGTCATGACTGGTTACAGCCTTGTTTGAGGTATTCCTAGCTTTCTTCGGACTGCTGTCAGAACTCCAAAATTTACCTAAACCCTAGACGTCGAGACCCTCGCCTCAGCCCTGAACCCTAAACCCTCCGAGTTTCTACCCCTTCTACGTCTTCACCGCTGTGCGGAAGTTCTTTTTCTTCTTGGCCGCGGCCCCGATGCCAATCGCTGGATGTCGCCATGAGAAGCTAGGGCGGACTTTTTTGGGATTTAGGGCTTAGGGTGGGTTATAGGGGTCTTGGCGTCAGGGTTGAGGAAAGCTTGAACACCCCTAAACCCGAAACCCTAAAATCTTAAACCCTAAAATCTTAAACCCTAAACCCTAAACCCTAAACCCTAAACCCTAAACCCAAAACCCAAAACCCTAAACCCTAAACCCTAAAACCCTAAACTAGGGATGCATCTGCAGGTCATGTGGGACGGCATATGTGTGCGGTGCCGCTCCGAGGATCCCAAGCGCACGGGGCGGGTCCGCATCCGCGACCTCCTCTCGTCGCAGATCCTCCCGGAGTTGCCCGGGGCCCCAATAATCAACACGTAGAACTCAGTGGGCGCCCCTGAAACTTAAGAACCCTGAACGCCCCGGGAAGCTCTAACAACACCCAAAAGAGGACCCTAGGAACCCTTCAGCCCTAGGAACCGTTAAGCCTCTGAGAGCCCCCCAAAACATTCCTTTAAAGCCCCCAAGAGCAAGCCCCCAAAAAGCAAGCCCCTGTTCCAGGTACGAGCTTAGGCAGGAGCAGCCCTTGGGCGAGGAGGCGGAGGCCAACTGGTTCAGCAGCCAGTCGGCCCTGAAGGCGGAGCGACTCTGGATCAGTTCTTGGCTTTGAGGGTTTGGGGCGTTTAGGGTCTGTGATCTGGAACCCTACAAAGGCCTTTGAGGGTTTCTTTTCTTCGGGGTCTCCGCTAACTTCGTTGAGGTCAGCCGACTTAGCCAGTAGTTGAAAGTAGTTCTTTTCAGGCAGCCCCAAACTCATAACTAACCAACTAACTAAAAGCCTGGGTAGCATCCCTATCCCTGTTAAAAGGCCCCAAGCAAAAACGTGCCCCCGATAACCCAGGCTAGAGCCCAGCAACAGCAAGCTGTTTTTTGTACTCGTCATAATTGCTGCTTCGTGATGTGCCGTCTAAGCTGAGAATACGATAACTGCGTTCCTTTGTAGGTGTATGGGGCCTACCTCTTCCTTGACCTCGACCAGCCCAGCACTCAGCAGATCATAAAGACATTGGGTTTTTGGGGTTGAGGGTTTAGGGTGATGTGGGGTTGAATTGGGTGGGGTTTGGTTTGAGGGTTTTGTAGTGGCCAGAATAGCGGGCCAGTTGCTGGGGGATTCTAGAACTGCTACAAGAGTTACCGGGAAGCACTCCTGGTGGTCTTTCCGGGTTCCCCTGTTCCCCCTCATCATGCAGAAAGGCCATCATCCCGATGCGGAACTTGCTCCTAGAAGCTAGTCATGGCAATCTATCTGTTGGGGGTCACTCTTTTGATGGTTAGGGTACCCAGAAAGGGATCGTGGTGCCGAAGAACTGAGAACCGATCATCTGCTGCAGCATGTGGGACTCGCGGCTAGCATGTGCTGGGTCTGCTGCAGATCCGGGGATGGCGCGTGGGGCGGATGAGCACCTGGGTGTAAACCGAAGCTTCAGGCCCTCAGGCCTAAATCCTAAACATTCCTAAACCAAACCCCAGCCCTCAACCAGCCAGAGTCCTGTACTCGCACTAGGCAGGTGCAAGAGTATTCTTGGACCCTGCAGCGATGCCCCGTTACCCTCAACCCCAAACCCTACGCTTGGAGCTTTGCTGCGGAGGAACGGCATGCTCAACAAAAGCGAGCTAAGCCGCTTCGGCAGCGGAATGCTGACGGACGTGTTCATAGACAGGCCAGAATGTTTGTTCATATTTGCTCTGAAGGTTTTGTGGGTTTTCTCAGGGCCTGAGGCCTATCAATGCCTATGATCCCTCACCCCGAACAAACCCGAAGCCCCTTCGACCCTTGCAGGGAAGCTCCTTCTCACCCAGCGGTCAGCCGTGCTTCAGGGTTCGGTTTCGGGTGGCCTGGACGACTCACTGGACGACCTGTAGGTGAGCTCCGAAAGACCTGAGGCCCTCCAAAATCCACTCATGAGGACTCAGGATTGAGGGATACAGGGCGTCAGATCACAGGAGTCTCTGCAGGAGTTTAGAGGTCTAGGGCTCCAGCGTCCATAGGGGGCCACTCGCCAGGGTGTTCGAAGAGTACCAGACCTACCGCGATGCGGAGACTGGCGAACGGGAGATGGTGCGCGCCCTCCCCTTGAGCCCTGAGCCTCATGACCTGAAAGCCCGAAACCCTAGACCGAACTCTGAAAGCTTAGAGCTGTACTCTACATGCATTTTGGCGAGTTTGGGCTTGAGGGTTTCAAAACACTGTTGTCGCGAGCTTTTTCAGGGAGATGGACAGAAGGCCTGCCACTGCCATATCCTGAATTTCAAACCCTAAGCCCTAAACTCTGAACCCTAAACCCTACTAAATCCCTGCAGGAATCCTAACACAAGAAGCCCGATGTTTAGAACCCTAAGTCCAAGATGAGCATAGGACTACAAGACCTTCCTGGACTTCGTCCTGGCTATGGAGAACAAGAACTCGCCCCAGGCTTGCTGATCCCGGGCACTGGGAATGTTGGTCGAATATTCGCTTCCGGGCCTTTGCATCCTTCAATCCTAAAATACCTAGAGACCTTACAGACAATAAAACCCTAAAGATCTAATCCTAGGGAGGAGCCCTGAGCCAGGCCATCCAGTACTTCTGGAAGCTCTTGGACATTCACCACACGGGCTGCGAGGGCCTTGGGCTTTCTCGATATGGGAGATGGGGTCGAGGGTGGGGTCGAGGGTGTTGCGGCTTTGGAGTTTGTTTGGCTTTTTTGGGTCTTTTGGGTTTGGCGCCTTTCTTGTTGAGAGGGGGAAAGGGTTCTGTGTGCCATGGTAGCGAAGTCTGAAGTAAAACGTGTGGCAAGCTCGCGAATGTGAGGCCACAGGCCGTCGGTTTTGGCTGGAGGTATGCAATGCTACGAAGCCTCTTTGCCAGAAGCAGGCCGGTTTTTCGGCCATTCTGTTGGACACAGCAGCGATGTAGCTCCAGTGGCTGGCAAGTGAGCTCCTGCGGGCGTGTTCGATTTCCCACGGGCAAGGTCAGCTATGGACACTTAAGTTGCTCTGGCTACCGTTATGTCCAGATCGACAAGCAGGGACACTCTGTGCATCGACTAGTGGCTGCCGCATTTCTTGGCCCTCCTCCGGATCCCACCTGCTGGCAGGTTAATCACAACGATTGTGAGCCTGGAAATAACCACGTTTCGAATCTGCAGTACGCAACCAATTCCGCGAATCAGAAGCATTCCTATGCCACCAACTCGGGTCGACAGTCAAGCGCTGCCAAGCTGGCGAAAGCGGTCTTGTGGCGGCCTGTTGGCGAAGAATCTTGGACGTTCTGCCCATCGCAGAGGGAAGCCGCACGCTTGCTTGGCGTCTGGCCATCTGCGGTCCGGATGTGTTGTTCTGGTTTGATCAATAAGTCGAATGGAAATGGCGTCTGGTACGAGTTCAAAGTAGCTCCGACAGTAGCACCAGGACGACCCTCAGATGAGGTCTGGCGGCCTGCTCGATATCCAGGATGGTCTGGTGTCATTCCAAATCTATTGGTCAGTAATAAAGGCCGCGTATCCCAAACGAAATCGGAGGCTTTCCATTCTGGCACCCGCTCGAGAAGTGGTTATTATGTCGTCACCAGGGTGGGCAGGAAGTTGTATGTGCAGCGCCTGGTTGCAGCCACCTTCCTTGGTCAGCCGCAGTCTCCAGATCACCAGGTCAATCACAAAGACCGGAACCGAGGTAACAACCACCTGGCAAATCTGGAGTATGTCACCCAGTCTGAGAACATGCGGCATGCTAATGCTTATGCGCACAGTGAGGGAAAGGCTCCGAAGCCAAGAACTCCCAAGCCGGTTCTGGCCCGTCTCCTGGGAGGCGCGGGATCCTGGCTGGAGTTTGAGTCGATCAAGGCAGCGGCTGCCCACACCGGGGTCATTCGGCGCAAAGTCTCCCGCATCTGCCACGGGCTTGACAGCAACGTTTCTTGGGAATTCCGGTTCGCCCCAGAGGAGCAGCTCCCTGGGGAAGAGTGGCGCCCTGTGGTGCTGGAGGGGGTGAGGCGACCTTCGGGTTTGAAAATGCCCACAGCCGCAGAGGTCATCTGAGCTCCGCTTGGAACCTTGGAGTTGATTGAAGTGCACATCAGTGCACGTCGCGTTGGAGACGGGCGGCTTGCAGCTGTTGGCGTGGCTGGACTTGGCAGCTTTGGATTTCGAGATCGGTGCAGAAGTGTAGCCGGTGCCATGTTGGGAAAGCCTGGTAGAGTGAAGGGGCGCAGGCCGATCACGCTGGATAAAGGTTTGGTCCATGAGCGGAGCGAACTTTACAGTGCCAGGAATCAGAGCAGACTCTTATTATTCTCTTTTTAAGGGTTAGGTTCCCTTCTAAACCTCTTTAAACCTCTAAGCAAGAAAGGGCACCCGTTTTATTCCTGGGTTTCTCTGGGGCGTAGAGTGTGCCCTGGTACTCTACAGTAAATGATGCGCCGTTTGGATTCGTTCGTGGGGAGCTGTTGAGCACGTTGCGCCTGTGCAGTATCTTGGGATTGCCGGCATGAACCCTGTATGCTCTAACATCCAGCCAATTCTCAGTGGCTGAAGTGCATTGGAATGGATGGCGCGATCTCCTCAAAGGCACCCGGCATGGAAACCCTACAGCCCTGCAAGCCTCTGAGGTATCGACGGCTTCGTCATCAACTACTTCTTTCGAGCGATCGTGAAGTTGCTGCAGCCAAAGAGCCGGGCACCCAGCGAAAGGTTCGATTCAATCCCTGGACCCTGCTAGAACACGCTCTTGTTTGCGATCGTTCCGGTGTGAACCGGCTTAAAACTTACGCATACTCAGATTCATGCCGAGCAAGCATCAGGAGCAGCCATCGCAATGGCAGGCTCAACCCTAAACCCTAAAACCCTAAAACCCTAAAATCCTAAAACCCTAAAACCATAAAACCCTAAAACCCTAAAATCCTAAAACCCTAAAACCATAAAACCCTAAAACCCTAAAACCCTAAAACCCTAAAACCCTAAACCCTAAAACCCTAAAACCCTAAAACCCGTAAACCCTAAAACCCTAAAACCCTAAAACCCTAAAACCCTAAAACCCTAAAACCCGAGGCCCGGACATCGCCTCGGTGGATGACGTGAAGGCACCTTCTGCCTCCCCCCCCCCCCCCCCCCCCCCAAAAGGGGTCACCAAAATCTACAGAATCTCCGCCTAAGGGTTTAGGGTTTAGGGTTTAGGAAGGGCAAATGCCCCCAAGTGTGAGGAGGGAAGAGGTCGAAGCCTCAAGTAGCCCAGAAGCCCGGAGGATGAGATCTTCGATATGGTCAAGTCCGACAAGCCGGGCACCTCAGGGAGTCCTACGAGACTCCGGAACCAGCAAGAGAGCTCTGGTTCACACTTGAGGAGTTATATAAGTGGGGATATGAGTATGGTAGCTGTAGATATCGGCGTATTTAAAGTACCAATAAACCACCGGCTTTGCCCTCAGAAGCAGGGGCTCCTTGGGGTTTCCGCCGCCCTCAACCCCAAAGCGACAGGCAGCCTCGCGCACTAAATCCCGTTTCTTTCTTACAAGTGAGCACCCGACCCTAAAGCTTAAACCCTAAACAGTGCATCAGATCCCCCAAACTATTGGATCATTAGCCCAGGACCTCCTTTCTCACGCTCCTACTGTTGAACAGCCCCCCCCCCCACCTTAAACCCTAAACCTTAAGCCCTAAACCTTAAGCCCTAAACCTTAAGCCCTAAACCCCAAACCCGAAACCCCAACCCCCAAACCCTAAACCCTAAACCTAAAACCCCAACCCCTAACCCCTACACCCGGTGTCGCGCCTGAGGCCCGGCATCATCACGCAGCAGGACCTCATCCGGTGCCGCCAAGGCGGCACAGTGCTGCCCGGGGGCCTGGTAGGGGTTTTCGGTTTAGGGTTTAGGGTTTAGGGTTTCGGGATCAGGTTTCAGGGGTCAGGGTTTAGGGTTTAGGGTTTAGGGTTTAGGGGCTCCCATAGTCTTTCTTAAACCTTTTGGGGGTCTCTGGCTTGCGAGGGGTACCCCGAAAAGGAGCCTCAGTATGATAGGAACCTTAAAAGGGAGCGAGCCATAAGTTGAAGAGCTGCCCATGGGCTTCTCACCTGTGTGCGTTTTGGGGGTTGGGGTTTGGGGTGCAGGGGCTTTCGGTGGTTCAGTGCTTCAGGGACTTAGTTCGGGGGGAAACCCTAAACCTCACCTAAGCCGGGCTCGGTCACGGCTTCGGGGCCTTTGCGGGTTTAAGGTTCCGGCAGTTATGGTTGAGGGGTTATAGGGTTTATAGGGCTTATGGGGTTCATCGGGTTCACAGGCTTATAGGGTTACAGGGTTTAGAGGGCTTAATGGGGCTTTGGGCTTAGGCGTCAGAGCCGCGCCCCCCCAAAAGACGCTCCAGTCCAGGTCCATGCTCATGGATGCGAAGGCCTTCTGGCTGTACGACAACCGGGAGAACTTCATGCTAGAGCCGGAGCAGGACTCCCCACCCGCCCCCAAGCACTCCAAAGCCGGACCCTTAGGAAACAAACGCTTGGGTTTAGGGTTCGGGTTTCGGGTTTAAGGTTTAGGGTTTAGGGCTTAGGGTTTAGGGTTTAGGGCTCAGGGTTTAGGGTTTAGGGCTTCGGGCTTCGGGCGAAGGGTGTGCCGTGCAGGACGAGGGGGACGAAGATGACCTGAGCACGCTTTCCAGCGGCTGACCCTTTCCCGGCGTGGAAGCGCGGGATGACCCAGAGGTGGGGGGGGGGGTTGCTCCGTCTTTCCTCCCATGCCCCGACGCCTAAGCCCTAAACCCTGAGCCCTAGACCCTTTCCTATCCCCTAAACCCTGAACCATAAACCCTTAAACCCTAAACCCTTAAACCCTAAACCCTATATCAGCCCTAAAAACCCTCAAACCCCTAAATCCTTAAATCCCTAAGTTCCCCCCCCCCCCCCCACAGCTTCTTCCACCGAGTGCCTCCGAAGAGCGGCGCGCCTTGGCTCTCGCCGAGGGCGCCTTTGCCAGAGCGAGGCTCCTGAGCCAGGGACCTTTTTTTAGTTTATCTTTTATCTATATATGTATATAAGTATCGTTTTTTCAACAACTTTTTTGCATATTTGTTTGGGTTTAGGGTTTAAGGGGTTTAAGGGGTTTAGGGATTTTAGGGGTTTTAGGGGTTTAGGGGGTTCTAGGGGTTTTAGGGGCTCGGGCTTCGGTTTCAGGGCAGAGGGCTTAAGGGTGTTGGGGTTTAGGGCGGGCACTCAACCGCTGACGGGGGGTTCAGTGTTTGGGCTTCTTCGGGTTGGTCTACGGAAATGGAGGGTTTGTAGGTTTGTTTTGGCAGCTTGCAGATCCCTGTCTCTTTTTCTAGACTGGAGGGCTTAGCGTCCTTCTCCGCCTGTTGGGCACTTTCCGCAGATGCAGCCCTCCATTAGGGAGGGGTGTAAGGGTCCCTGAGACGTCAACATCTGTGCTGTCACCTCGCATTGCGAATTTCAAACCCCCAAGCCACAAGCAACTCTGGACCCTAATTCCCCCGACAACCCCATGTTCTCCCCACCCAAACTCCCCTACTCGGATGTTCATCGGCAGGTACACGAACGGATATCTTTTGCGACAGCTGGTTCACGGGTAATCCTGACTCGGTAAGAATAAGCCCCCCCTCCCCCCCCGCGGCCCCTGACTACTTCTTACAACCTCTCGTAACCCTGCTTGTGCCTGCCCAAAGTAGATATGGGCCATGGATAGGGACCCCCTGAACCCGAAAAGCCCCCTCTGAATCGCATCTTGGGGACCCTTTCAGAGATGTAGATAGTCAATTCGGCTCATGCTTCTTTGCCGGAGGGAGGATCGGGCGTCCGAGCTCGGGTGAGGAGAACCCCCAAGTCAGAAAGACCTCGAAGGCCCCAACCTGAAACGGTCAAAGTCCTGGCCAGGGCCTAAAACCTCCAAAACCCAAAACACAAAAGCCCCAAGCACTAGACCCTGAAACGCCAAAGCCTGAAGCTTTTCAGGCTTCGCTCTCTCATGACAAAACTATGAATGGAGTAGAATGACAGAGGTGAACAAGAGGGAGAGAGAGAGAGAGAGAGCTTGAATGCGACAGAGGTGATGAGACATGAAGGTGTCGTCAGAATCTTTTGGTCTTAAGCCCTGAATCCTCAACCTTCCTCTAGGCCATCAAGCCCAAGGACTGCTGGGATGCCTCAGCCACCTCTTACCGAAACACAACCCTGAAACCCTTAACCCTCGGCCCCAAGTCCTGAACCCTCTTCGCTGGGCCCAGCAATTTTGAAACCCGATCCCCAAACCCTTGGAACCCCCAAACCCGTAGAACTCCTAAACTCTAAACCCTTGGAACCCCTAAACCCATAGAAGCCCTAAACCCTCAACCCTAAACCCTAAACCCCAAACCCTAAACCCTAAACCCTAAGAACCCCCTGCACCCTAAACCCTATGCCCTTTTGGAACACCCCCCCAGAGTACACCCCAGGCTCCGCCTTCCTTCCCTCCACGTTAGGCACAGTGGGGATTTTCAATCTCGCGTAGTCCTGCCTACCGGCCTTCAGTGGACGCCACCGGTCTGTGACACTCGCGTAGGCTCCGCGCTCTTTTAGGCTCCATGCTCTTTCTCAAGCTCAGACTCTAGTTCTTTGGCTTGCTAGCTATTTCAGACGTAGTATCGTGGGTAGGACAGCTACACGGTTACATC